ACTAATATAGATGCTATTGGTATTGATGGAACTTCCACCCCTAGTATTGATACTAGGGGAAAGAAAAAGATGGCCTCTAACTTGATTAGCCTGGTTTGGAAAATATTTAAAGTAGTGGAGGTTGAGGGGAAGGGAAAAAGAGTTGTTTGCCAAAAATGTAGGAAAGACTTTAGCTACTATAGCAATGGTGGCACTGGCCATTTGGGCAGACAATTGCTCACCCATGAGAAAAAATAAGAAAAATAATAGAAAGAAACAACACAAACACAAATTGTGAAAATATTAACATTGAAATTGGAAATAAAAAAGAAGAAATTAATAGTTTATTATTTGAAATGTATAGTTTATATAAATCTGAAGTAATAGGAAACGATTCTACAAGTTGTACAGCTGCACCTTCTACTTCTGAACTTGATCACAATAGTAGAAGAGAAAAATTTTTTTATTTAATAAGAAAAAGGCACAAATCTGTTAACTCAACAACAAGTTCATTTATGAAACTTAATTTTTATTTACAAATAAATTTTTCTACTTTAGGTGAAGGAACAAATAATTTTGATATTTTAGCCTAGTGGAGTGAACATTCAAAAAATTATCTAGTTCTCACCACCATGGCACGTGATCTACCAACCCCTCTGATGTCTACAGTTCCATCAGAGTCTTGTTTTAGTGCAAGTACTAGGGTGTTGGATGACAAGAGAAGTTGTATGAATGATGAAAGTATAGAGATATGCCTCTGCTTTAAAGATTGGCTGGATGTTGAAGGCATATTACAAGACAAAGGAGGGCATGACACTACACTCGATATTTCACCTAAAGCATATGATGAAAGTCATGATTCATGAACAATAGCTGTATAGCATTTTTTTTCAAATTATTGTAAATTTTATTTAATTTATTTGCTATTTTTTAACAATGTAATTTTGTATTTTCAGTTTATAACTATATTGTATTTTTTATATTTTATTAATTTATTCCATTTTCCAATTTTCATATTTCATTCATCCAAGTATCCAACCATTGTATGCTTTGTAATTTGTACCATTTAAATTTAAATGAAATAAAATTCATATTTTTCTTTCAATTTGTTATTCCATTCTTATTTGATTAAGTATTTTTTTCATTTATTTGTTAGATTTCTCATTTCTTATTTTTTCAAATAGTTCCCAGAGGCTAAAGGAAAGTTAAATATTTTAGTTTTACACTTTTACTTAGCAAACAAATAAAAAAAATCAATTTTTTCAAAAAAAAAACAAAAATAAAATAAAATAAGGTAAAAAAACCAGTTTTGCCCAATTCGGCCCACGCCCAAGGCCCAGCCTATAGCCTAACCCAGGCCCATAGCACGGCGCGGACCCACACGGGCTTGGGCCATGGGCTGTGCCAAGCCGACCCCCCAAGTTACCCCTAGGGAGGGCAGCACCGGCACGGCACAGCCCTCACTTTGCGCAGACCGCCCGTGAGCATGACCCATTTTACACCTCTAAGCAATCGTCGACACTCCTTCTCTACCACCTCTCCCTTCCCATGCACCTTACCTTCACAACTTTCATCTTTCCATGTCTGGATCAAGTCGACCACTCATACAGAAATTGTCCCAAGTAACTTCTCATAAGCTTGGGGCAATTCACACTTGCCTCCGAGATCATGACACATAGCACTTTCGAGATTTGTATTCAATTTGATTAAATTTTGAATCAGAATTTTATACTAGTGTTTGGAACTGATGCCATTTTCTTGAAAAAAGGTGCCACATCAGTGTCATGTCTAAAATTCGTGTTTTTGGACATATCTCGACATTTGCTTATGTGTTTTTTTTTTTTTTTAATTCTCAAACCACACCTTAGAAATTGGGGAAAGTGTGATATGAGAAAATGTACTTTTTGGTGTTTTCTTGTTTTTACTATTGCTACAAACATGACATTGAAAAATGCCTACGTGGCAGCACCAATAATGATCCCACACACATTTTTTTGAGAAAATGACATGCCAATGCAGCACCGTTCTCTCAAAAAGCATCTCTTATAAAATGACATTGATGCCAAACATGGCAATAAACAATCTTATATAACAATCGGACAACATAGGATGATTATATGTATGTATTGTATTTATTAACCTTAGGCCGTGTTTGGGAGTGCTTAAGTTAAAAAAGTGCTTATTCCAATAAGCACTTATTTGCATTTGACACCCAACTTTTTCAAGTGCTTATTTTAAAAAATAAGCACTTATTTTATATTGGGCATTTGGTAGTCTTTTTCTCTAATAAGCGCTTAAATAAACATTTGTGACTATTTTATCCTTCATTTTCTTTCAAATTTTCAAAATATACTCTTTGAAAGAACTTTTATTAAATTAGTTTTATAAAAACACTTTTTTGAAAGTACTTTTATAAAAGCACTTTATGAACTGGACATTGCTCTCAAATTGGACATGTCCAAAGCTTTCGACATAATGTTCTTGCTTTTTCTCAAAGAAACACTAAACAAAATGAGTTTCCCATCAAAATGGACTCAAATGATCTATCAATGTATCTCTACCCCAACCTTTTCAGTAAAACTAAATGGCAAATGTTATGGCCATTTCAAACTAAGACAAGGCCTCAGACAGGGAGATCCCCTCTCCCCATATTTATTTATCACGGGTATGAAGATACTAACACAATTGCTAGCATGTGCTGAAAGTGAAGGTCTCATTGATGGAGGCAAAATTTGCAAGAATGGTATGTCTGTTACTCATTTGCTATTTGCAGATGATTGCATCATTTTTTGCAAGGCGGATGTGTCACATGTTAAAATTTTGAGCCAAATCTTATCTATTTTTGAGCAACTTTCGGGACAAAAGGAAAACTATGAGAAATCCTCCATCATGTTTAGCAGCAATGTCCCAAGACACCACAGAAACGGGTATGGAGATACTAACATAATTGCTAGCATGTGCTGAAAGTGAAGGTCTCATTGATGGAGCTAAAATTTGCAGGAATGGCATGTCTGTTACTCATTTGCTATTTGCAGATGATTGCATCATTTTCTACAAGGCGGATGTGTCACATGTTAAAATTTTGAGCCAAATCTTATCTATTTTTGAGCAACTTTCGGGACAAAAGGAAAACTATGAGAAATCCTCCATCATGTTTAGCAGTAATGTCCCAAGACACCACAGAAAATTTATCTCTCACATACTCAAGGTCAGAAAAACCTCTACAAGGCACAAAGTACCTGGGCACCAGATTAGGAGTTCAAGACAATAGGATATCAACACATCCGCCCTTAGTGGACTGAGTGATATCAAAAATAACATATTGAAACTCTAGATTTCTATCCCAAGCAGGGCACACCACTCTGATTCAATCAATCCTCCAAGCCATGCCAATCTACTCCATGCAGACACCTCTTCTCCCCAATGGGACACTCTCCAAACTAAACAAGTTGATGAGGGACTTTTGGTGGCATATGGGTGATAACAAGTCTAAACACACAATATAGTGGAGAATAGCGAACCAATCAAAACAAAATGGAGGTTTAGGATTCAGAAAAAAGTCAAGACATGAACAAGGTAGTTTTTGGGAAACAGGTATGGAGAATGATATCCCCTCCCAACACTTTGTGGAGTCAAATCATCAAACAAAGGTACTTCCCAACTCAAAGCCCATTTCAGGCCAAAGTCACCCGCACTTCATCACTACGGTGGCGTTCCACACACAAATTTCTAAAAGAACTGAAGCCAAACATAATATGGCAAGTCAGTTCGGGCAGGAACATTTCAGCCTTCTCGGACCCTTGGGTTCCAACTATCACAAGGGGTATCCCACATCCAAGAGATACAACCTTTGAAACTCACGATAACCAACATTTTTCATCACTATTGAACCTAGACCGAAGCTGGAACCGCCATATTCTAGCCCAATTTTTTTATGAAGAAACATGCTCTCATATCCTTCAAATTACACCTGACACTGAGTCAAGCCAAGATAATATTTTGTGGAAACTCAACACCTCTGGAACATATACAGTGAAGTCAGCATACAAGGTTTTTGAAAACCATAAACCATCACCCTCCAAAGCACATTTCCCATCAAATTACACCTGACACATAGTCTTCATTTGGAAAGTGGTTTGGAATGGCCTCCTAACCCGAAGTAAATGTACAAAATGGCTCCACCCCTCCGAAACAAACTGCCCTTTCTGTAAATATCAAAAAGGAAACAACCTCACATCTCCTCTTTACATGCCCTTTCACAAGAGTAGTTTGGTGTGAAGCTCAGGTAGGGCTGAATCCGAATGACATCAAAGAGGAAGAGGAAGTTTATGTCTCCATCATAAAGTGGTGGGAAAAATTAAAAAAGAACTTATCGCCACAAGAGGCCATACATCTAGTGGGGAAGGGTTGCACTTTACTATATCTTATATGGAGAGCCAGAAATGACCTCGTTTTTTACCACAAGAATACCAACCCAAGGGACATTATTTCTCGAGTGTGGAAGTATCAATGCTCTCAAGACCAGTGTTTCAAAAATATAAGGACTACCTCCCCTACAACGAGAGAAGGAACACCCTCACCATACTTTACATTGATGGATCGTATGACTTACTCTCAGGTTTTGCAGGACGAGCTTTCATCATCCAATGCATAGACAGAGGCATAGTCCTTGCTGAAGGAGAACCGTGCTAGGCCATTGACAGTTATGATGCGGAACTCCGGGCCCTAATTCAAGGGCTTAAAGCAGCCAATCAACTCCAGATATTCAAGATCATGATATATAGCGATTCATTCCAGGTGATAGACCGGTTACATTGGATAAAAGTCAACCAAAGAGATGGATAAACTGGTTACATTGGATAAAAGTCAACCAAAGAGATGGATAAACTGGTTACATTGAACACAATTATTAATACTTTTATCTATTTTTGAACAATTACAGTTTGTACATATAAGCAGAAACTACAACAAGACTGCTCATACACTAGCTTACCTCGCATGCAAAGGCCAACTGAAAATATCCTATAACCCATGTTTATCCTCATCTGTACAGTTTGGTTTAACTTAATGAAGGGCTGGCTGTTTTTCTTTTTGGAAAAAAAAGAATCAAGATAGATGGTTTTAGATTTTTATTATTCCGAACTCGCAACAATTCACCTTATTAGAGTCTAGAGCCTAGACTGATCCATCGTGAACGTGCCTCTTAACTCCAAAGTCCAAACAGATGGGAAAAACAAGCACCGCGAACCTGTTACTCCCCTTCCTATTCGTCTTGTTCTCATCGTCTCCACCTTTAATCACAACTGAAGCATCAAAGCTTGGCTCCTTCAGATTTGCTCCTCGTTTCTTCGGGAGATTTGCAGCAAATGCAGACCTTAACAACTTACAAACACACAAGTCGCTCAAAATCCAATATGAAACCCGATATTTCACACAAGTCCTCGATCACTTCAGCTTCTCCAACCTTCCAACATTTCAGCAGAGGTACCTCATCAACACTGACCACTGGCTCGGCCCCAATAGTATGGCCCCCATTTTCCTCTATTGCGGTAATGAAGGCGACATCGAATGGTTCGCCGTTAATACTGGCTTTGTTTGGGAGATTGCTCCTCTATTCAACGCCATGGTTGTCTTCCCTGAGGTCACCACTCCATCTTGCCAGCTCTAATTTGCCCTTTGTTTGTGTTGTAGAAGTAACTTTACTGAATTTAAGCTTAGAGTTGAGTTTTTTGGTGTTTTTTTTTTTTGTTTAATTTTCGTGGTTACACGGCAGCACCGGTACTATGGCAAGTCTATGCCCTTTGGAAGTAGAGATTCAGCGTACAAGAATGCTGCTTCTTTGTCGTATCTCACTGCTGAACAAGCTCTTGCAGACTTCGCAGCTTTGATTACTGACCTGAAGCGGAATATGTCTGCTGAGGCTTGCCCGGTTGTTTTATTCGGTGGATCTTACGGCGGAAGTTATCTCTCTCTCATTTGTTTTGTTATTTCTTGTTAGTTGAGATTGTGAGCTTTACTAGTTATAAATAATCTTTCTTTTTATTACCAAAACAGTGTTGGCAGCATGGATGAGGATCAAGTATCCACATATTGCTATCGGGGCACTCGCTTCCTCAGCGCCCATTCTGCAATTTGAAAATATTGTGCCACCAGAAACATTTTACGACATTGTCTCCAATGATTTCAGGGTCTGTCTCTTATAATTCACTTACTGGCACCTTTATAAATATGTCTTTGTACACTTTGAGTTGCAGATTTTTATCCTCTTATGTATGCAGCGTGAAAGTGTCAGCTGCTTTAACACCATAAAAAAGTCATGGGATGCAATAGAAGCTGAGGGGCAAACAGAAGAAGGCTTGCTTCGCCTGACCGAGGAATTCCACCTTTGCCGGTAAGGCATTGTCTGGATTCAATATCTAGGCCCCAATATGTTTTAGCAAGATGGTATTATGTTGATGCTTTCGTTTTGAATAGATTGAATCTTTTTTCCCTTTTTAATCATATTTTCGAAACTTAATTTACCATACATCATGAATGGAAGGAACCTGAGAAGCACACAAGATCTTGAAGATTGGTTGGAATCTGCTTATAGTTATTTGGCAATGGTGGATTACCCATATCCTTCTGATTTTATGATGCCTTTGCCAGGAAATCCAATAAAAGAGGTAAGATACAATTTACAACATAATTGAAATAATCTCTTGGCCAATGTTGGATATCTGCTATGGTATGTAGTTTCTTGGTCTTATCTCTGTCTTTTTCTTTTCACAAAATTGTGAAAGTACTATACCCTGAAAGCCACTTAACTGTGCATAATACACAGTAGTCTGCTGAGTTTATTGGGACAAAAACATATACGGTGTGTTGAGGCTCACCATTATCAGTAGAGGTTGTGCTAAATAACATGACGGTTTTTTGTTTTCTTTCTTTTTATTTTTTTATTTTTTTGATAAATGGTGTATGCATATATATTGCATTTCTATATGTGGTAAAATTGGAAGGCATACCTAGATACAGAATCCTTACATTGTCGATGAGTTGAAACCATGAACTATGCAAGTATATCTCTTTGGCCATCAAAACCAGAATTATATTAAATCTTCCAATTGATTCTGCAAATGTTCAAAAGAGAAACCAATGCAACACTAATAGGCCATACTCATGTGGATATAGGTTCATCCTAGATGGCTTTGTTAATGCTCTTATGCCCATTAACTACAGTAGGTTCTTTGTTTACAAGCTCAATATTCTTGGACCATGACTTGCAGCCCAATTCATTTTACCCACAAACCTAAGGTGGTCAAGTTCATTATGGCAGATTGGCAGGCCTAGGGTGGAAGAAACTAGAAGAAGAATATCTTCAAAAAATATCCTAAGAGATAATACCAATTAAATAATATTCTAGATGCTTGGGTATTTTGTGATTTTATTTTCTTGTTTTCCAAGGGAATTTATCTTTCTATGAAAGGCATTGTACTCCTTTTTTCCCTTTTAAATGCATGAATATTATTAGATCTGAGAATTGGAACCTAGCAGTGAGGTCATGGTAGTAATGTCTGATTTTAGTTCTTCCTCAGCCAAAAGCCTACCTGATGCTTTGGCAAGAGCTGCAGTTGTAATGTTTAATTTGGAATGGCGGCACAAGACAGGCTGTATGTGTAAAAGGCTTCTGTGTAAACTGTTTTTGACATGGAAGCTATGAGCTGTTGTACTAATTCAATATAATTTGATCTCTTGGACTTTAGGGGTCATGACTTTTTTGATAAATAACAGAATGAATTTCATTCATATAAAAAGGATTACAAGAAAAGCCATAAGGGTAACAAGATCAGAAGCTACAAGACAGAAAGAACCTTTAGGGGTCATGACTTCTCTTGCTTCAATCAATAATATGCCTCTGATAATTGTTAATGGTAAAAAAAAAGCGATCCTATTTTCCAAGTGCATGCTAGAGTGGAATGCCAGAACAGGATTTTTGCAGCTGTTCTATGCAGTTGGCTCTCAAACAAGGATACAGACATGGACATGGATATGAGAAACTGGGATACAACTCAACATTTCCTAAGATCCTGAGCATGTTTGTGTGTGGTATCCCATTTAATATGCTTAAAAGTTTCTTTCATTTCTAACTTTTTAAGTTAGATTTCACTTCTCAATATGCATATCATGTCAAATTCAATTAAATTTCTATAGTATATACATTCTTATTATGTGATTTCTTAACCATACCATTTTAATGTTTTAAAAGGGTTTACACCATGAAGTATACATAAATATTTGAGAAACAAGGAAGTATTTCCACATTTCCTGTATCAGAGTCTTTATGTCATCTTGGGTAGATAGGTTTTTTGACATCACATGTTGGTGGTTTAGCACCTTTCTTTGAGTGCCTATTAAGCCTCTGGATATCCATTATGTAGAACTGAATTATTTGTATTTATCATTTTAATAATAAGATCTTTTCTCATTAAAACTTGTTATTTATATCTGGTATATAAACTGAGACTCAACCAAAGCCTCATATGGGGTACAGAATGTCAAACAATTAACCTTCACTGAGAAGCTTATATATGTGTGTATATACTTATTTATGTCTGTCTTTCTAGGTGTGCAGAAAGATTGACAGTTTTCCTGATGGGACTAGTACTTTAGAGCGTATATTTGCAGGAGTAAGTGTCTATTACAATTATACTGGAGTAGTTGACTGCTTTGACCTGGGGGAGAGTAATCAGGATTTGGGAGCCGATGGATGGGATTGGCAGGTCTACTCTTCCTTTATCTTATTGATTATAAAGCTTTTCGATGTTTATTATATCCAAATAACTTGTGTTAAAATTTTCCTGGAAGTATTGTTATATCTAATTGAGTTTCCCTTGAAATATATAGGCTTGCACAGAGATGGTTATGCCAATGTCAAGCAGCCAAAGCACTAGCATGTTTACGGCATACGATTTCAATTATTCTTCTTATCAAGACGAGTGCTTTAAGCATTTTGGTATCAAGCCAAGGTCTCGATGGATAACCACCGAATTTGGTGGACATGTAAGATAATAATGGGTATCTAAATTTATTTGCTTCTTTCAATCAATAAACATGAATTAGTTTATATGTTTCATTAGTCTTTATAATGTCTTTTTTTTTTAATCTAGATCCTGAACACATTATGCTTTACCAGACTAAAATACCTATAAATATATTGGTGTCTATTTTACTTTATTGGTATGCATGTTTGTAAGCAATCCTTATCTTTAAAACCTTTTTTTATCAGTAAAAGGCTTTCATAACTCATAAATTTAGTACAGTCATTAAAGCATTTTCCCATCTCAAATTACATAATATTACAACTCTGCCCAAAATGGAAGAGGCCTGTCAACGCCTTGTTTTGCCAATACATCTGTCATCCCAACAACAGTCCTTACCCAGCTGAAAGTAGAATTGAACCTTTTTGCTAGGGTATCAATTTCCTTGAAATCCTGTCTGCATTTCCAAGGGGTGGAATTGATTTTCTTTGTCCAAGCGGTGACTAATTGTGAGTCTCCTTCAGTTTCCAATTCCCTAATTTCAAGTTGTACTGCAAGTCTCATTCCTTGTAGCAGAGCCCATATTTCGAGATCGGCTTCAGTCAGGGCAAGCCCGTCCTCACACCGTGCCAACAGCCTCTTGCAACCTTGCATCGGGAATATCTCCCCATGAAATAAAGCACATAAGTACGGAGATATTCCCAATGCAAGGCTGTAAAGGCTGTTCGAACAGGCGTTGCCCTGACCGAAGCTGGACGCCCATATTTCAGCCTGAACTGAATCTCCAAAGCCAATTGGACCTGAATACAAGGCCACTGCCTCTCCTCCGTTGTTTCTGAATACACCCCATATGCCTGCTCTTCCTGGATTGCCCAATGAACTGCCATATCAAAGTTCAATTTTAGTTTGGTCAAAGCTGAAATTGAAAATGAAAATGGACAGTAAAACCTTTCTTGTCAAAAAATGAAAATGATAACTTTCATGACCAATGAGGTTGTTGGTTTGATCCGACTTACCTACAATGGACAGTAAATTATAAATATTTTGTAGAAATGATGAGATTAGAGGGCTAGTCAGTTCTTTTCATGTGTGGCCATGTCATCCTCTAGTAGGTCCGTTTCTGCTTGAGTTGTTCCAAGGTTCAAAATATTGGTGTCGCATATTGTATCGAGAAGCTTGGACATGGATATGTCATACATATACAGATTTGCTTTGGATATGCATGGATATAGTGGAAAGATATTGATATACTTAAATACATTGGGGAAACTCTTATAAATCCTAAAAATACATCAGTAACATTAAATCTAAGGTTAAAATAACTATGAATGAGGTATAAACACACAAGTGATGCACACTAATAATTTATGAAGAGATGCATTGCAATCAACATTACCGAGAATCTAAAATATGTAGATATCATACAATAAATTTACTAATAATACATCAAACAAGTTTGAGTTTCCAGTCTACTAAAATCTCTTTATAAAACACATTAAATTGTTAAAATAATGAGTGTGATAGATCATTGATAAATTCATCTTATAGTTCTTTCCATGGTTTACAATATCAACAGTATTTGGCAATATATCCTCGAAATATCCCCATTTGCTAGGTGGCGATTTGAATTCTTCCAAGAATCTTTTTTATCCAAATATCCTCGATATTTTTCCGATATGTCAACAATATTTCAGATTTCATTGATAGACTATATATTTAAAATTTAAAATTTTAGAATATTATATTTTTTTTTCAATATTTTGTTACCATCATAATTTTTTAAATAAATTTTCCTAAAAGAACCAACAGGGAATTGGTGATTAGGTAATTGGTTTACTACTTTGATATGATTCCTATGTCACTATAATTCAAAAGAAAAAGGAAAGTGCATATAACTACAAAAAAGTATTCTCAATCTAACCAAAACATATAATAACAATAAAGATAAAAGTTAAAATGGCAAATAATTGACATATATAAAGAAGAGAAGATGGCTAAAGAGAAAAAGGGAGACAAAGAGAAGCATACCTGTTACAGTATCTCGATATTTCCTATTTGATTCATATAGTTCTTTGTTTGTCCAGACAGTTTGAGCCTTAAATGTGCAATTATATTTCTTCTAATGATTTTTTTTTTGATGAATAAAGATAATTTATTAAATCAGAAAAAAGGCAATACAGGAAACCCAAGAAGAGGCACGAGCTGTTACCTCTTCAAAAACTATTACATCAAATTAAAACAAAAATAGCCAGAACTAAAATTACAGAGAAGCCCAAAATAAATTTTCCCTTGTGGCCCCTGCTTAGCTAACCATTCCGCTAAGGTATTAGCTGATCTTCCCACCCAAAGAGAGGTAACAGTCATGTTTCTTGTAAGCCAATTGACTTTCCTCAATAAATCTCTGTGTCGCCACATGGCTGAAGCTGGGTCTGTCAGCCATCCCACAACAATTTGAGAGTCTCCTTCCACTACCAGGTGCTGAACTCCTAATTGTTTTGCAATCTGAATACCTTGTACCGCTGCTAAAATCTCAGCTCTATTAGAGTCTCCTATTCCCATGGGGCCTGAAAACAAGGCTAAGATATTGCTCTTTGTATCTCTTAGCACCCTTCCAATCCCCGATGGGCCTGGGTTTCCTTGGCTGCTGCCATCAAAGTTCAGCTTTATCCATCCTTCGGGTGGGGGGATCCACACTGCAGATTCCCTATCCTTCCTTGTATGGCTGTTAGCCATCGCTATCCAATTTCTCCAAATATCATCAAAGGAAAAGGTATGAAAGAAGTCCATAGTTCTCAACCAATGAATGGTCCTAGTCAAGATACAATCCTCAACAGCCTGAATGCTTCTTTCCTTTTCCTTGAATATCCTTGCATTCCTTTCTTCCCAGATTGTCCACAATGTAGCTGCTCTAATACATCTCCACATCAATTTTCCTTTTTTTGTGTTTTGTAGGCCACACAAAAAAGGAAGGATCGAACAACTGACTTAAGTCTGTGGACAGATTCCACTTGTACCCAAACAAAGAAAAAATCCAATTCTAGATAGCACTAGAAAAGGAACAAGATACAAGTAAGTGGGAACAATCCTCACCACTAGCCCTGCAAAGTACACACTAGTTAGGGGACAAACACATGAAAGGCCTTTTCTTCTGCAAGCAATCCAAGGTATTAATCTTTCTATAAGACATTAGGAGAAACCTATCTAGTCTGCTGCTTACTGCACATTCCCTCATATTATACCAGGAAAAGGAGCCATTGCTAAGAGGAAGATCTCTAAGATTGTGCCTAGCAATAAAATCCGAGAAATCCTTCATGCTTCTTGTTACTCTCCTACAGTTTGAACTTTCACTGCAAAATCTCGTGACATTAAATCCACCACCAACACACCAGGGCAGGTCCTCAAATTCATGTAGAGAGTCCAATTCCTCCCATAATCTTCCTCTCTGTGATGGAGAATTAGGCCCATACACTCCTGTCAGAATCCAGTTGATCCCATCAGAATTGTTTGCGAAAAGGATTGAAATAGATAACTCTCCTTTGTGAAATAGACTGCTAATCTGGAAATCATGTAGCAGTTTTTTCTGGGGGACGTGAAGATGTTTCATAGAAGACTCTCTTGGAGATTTGAGGGAGGTGGGAAGAGATGGGAAGTAGGGAATTGGTACAGGAGAGAAGAGATGGGCGCGAGGGCAAAACCAAATTTTTCCTACAGTAAAGCAGTGTCGACCGACGCATGGCCGGACTTCGGACACTCATAACTCAAAAAGGTGAAGGATAAGCAGGTGGTAATGACAGAGGTCCAAGGTGTTGAGGCAAGAAGAAGGTTCCTTCGTGATTGTTTGGTGGGAAGATTCTGGTGGAGAGTAGGGGTTCGAGAAGTGGAAAACTGGGTTAGTAGAACATGGAAGGAAGTGGGGGGAGTGAGGGTAAAGAAGCTGGCGGATGACCTTTTCCTTTTCATTTTCTCTTCGAGATTTGATGCAGAGAGGATCCTTGACAATGGTCCTTGGAAAATGGGGAGAAATCATCTCCTCCTAGACTGGTGGGGAGCTAGTGCAGGATGCTTCTAGCCAGAATCGAATGTGGATTTTGATCGCTCGGAAACAACCTGGGTTAGGGTGTTTGGTCTTCCGCTAATTCTTTGGTGTTCGAGTGTGATAAAAACAATAGGGGACACATGTGGTGGCTTTTTGGAAACTGACGACTCTTCGGAGGAGCTGGTTACTTGCGAGTGGATTCGAATGAAGGTGAGAAAGAAAGATCCTCTTCCTGAGAAGGTTGAGATTGTGGTCGTGGAGACTCTCTTCTTTGTTAGCATTTGGCCTGAAACTTTGCCATCAGTCCGAAGATGGAAGAACGGTAACCAAATGAATAAACAAGTCGAAAAGGAGAGGACAGGTTCAGAGATCTCAAAGACGGTTGTTCTAGAAGACGTTGGGGAAAGTTCGCTGCTTCAAGAATCCTTGAGAGGTATTCAGACTTGTAACATGCCGCCGATGAGGTCGCCGAAGATTGGTGGAGGGGAAGAAGAGAACCTCGAAGTTAATCTGGACCGTCCAACCTTAAATCCTATGGAGGGTCGGGATCTTCTCTCAAGGGATAGCTTCGAGGATCGTGTGCAAAAATTAAAATTGGGAAGTAGTGGGGGAGATTCGACGGTTGAGGATTTGAAAATCTTAATTAAACAATGTATTAAAGAGATGCACGTGGCACCCATGAAGGAGAAAATGCTGAACACGGGGAGGGAGGTTCGAGAAGGGTCAGAATTTGGGGTGTGTGAAGGAGAGGTTTTCCCAAGACGGGTCCAGGACCCGGGCATGTGTCACTCGTACCCAAATAACCCTAATACCCGATCCAAGCTGATGTTAAGGGGAAACAAAGTCTCTAAGTTTGCCAACGAACCAAGGTGGCCTATAGGAAGACAGATTCTCAATAGCCCGGTTCGACTTGAGCCGACCTGGGTTAGCCAGCCTCCCAAACATTTAGTGACGACTGGACGTGAGACTCTAGGTGAGCCGGTTTC